TTGCCTGGGAGTGTACACAGCAGCAGAAGCCACCCTTCCTCCATCCTGTACTCCCCACAAATGACCTGCTCATGGCTCCTTCCCATACCCTGCCCCAGCTGGGCAGCACCTGTTGGCACCCCTTCTTTGGTGCTCAGGGCAGTCACCCTGCTTCCCCCCACCCAATTGCTACAGCACTGTGCAGGGCTGCTCAGTACCACAAAGCACTGGTGAGCAAAGAGGGCAGGGGTAGCCCTTATTTTCCATGGTAAAGAACCCAAAATCAAATACCAAAATTTATAGGTATTTAGAATTTATTTTATTGCTGTGATTGAGGCACTGGTAGGCTTCCAAATTGCTTTAAAGTTGTAAATATATCAATAAAATATCGTGCTCAACTGATATGTATATTTTTAATCAGAGAATCTGTGCTTTTTAAATGAGAAAACCAGGATCCCTGAATATCACTGTCCATGGCCTGCTGGTTCAGAGACATTTCAGGGGTTAATAGAAAAAGCTCTCAAATGGCTCCAGAGAATCTGCCATGTAAAGTTGCTTGCTGTTGCCTTCCCTATAATTTCAGACTGGCGTCTGCTTCTACTCTAAAGCTGAAGACCCTATACTGCCTTCATGGCCTAGGATCCCTGGATTTCCCAGTGCTGAGCCCAGTTACCTGGACTAGGTAAGGGGGAGAACATCTTGGCTCCAGTGGCTGAATTCAGACCTGGGTAATATGCTAGAGCAACTATGGACATGCACTGCAGGGCAACTGGAAAGCTGATACTCAGGGGCAGTTGAGGATTCTCCTGATGCAAAGAAATCTGTGGTCATAAAGCAGCATTGCCTGATGTGCCTTTCTTCTCCCTGTCTCCTTTTGGTGTCTTGGTGGCAAGAATAGAGTGCATAGTCCCTATACAATCACTCCAGCTGGCAGTGTAGGATGGCCCTGTCAGCTAAGGCTGGACCAGCTCCTTCCATACCAATCGTGAGATTGGGGTGGGGTGAGGGACAGAAAACTGGCATGTAGTGTAGAATTGGTGCAGTGCAGGATCCAACATGTACCCTGTTTTATTTCTGCAACACAGGACAGAAAACAACAATATTACTACAAATAAAATTGCCATAAGCAGGAGGCATTAGGGAACAATAAACCAGTGAGGGTAAGGGGACAAAATATAGCTTGTCATGAGGTAAGCAAGGCACTTGCATGGAATCAGGTACTCCATGGCACACTGGTGTGCATGCTCTGAACCCATTAAAGGTGAGGTATCTTGCCCCATACTGCAGGATTACAGCATGTAGAAAGGCCATTACCATAGAACAGCTTGTGGGCATTTTACGTCTATACGCTAGGGGCAGGCAAAATGTGGCCTGCAGGCTGCATCCAACCTACCAGGCACTTTCATCCAGCCCTCAGTGCCCACCAACTAATTGTACCCTGCCCAGCCTTTCTGCTCACGAGGCATGGGAGTGAGGCACCCACATATACACCCCCCCTCCCCCCGCCAACATACCCTACTGCATCTCACTCCCACCCTCGTGGGTGAAAGGGCCCGGCCCAAACAGCCGCAGCATCCAGGCGGGGCTACTGCTGCAGCTGCTGCAGCCACTAGGGGACCTGCTTGGCTTCCCCAGCATCCCACTCTTCCCGGACAGCAGGTAGGGAAGTGGTGGGGGGTGGGGGCAGAAGCTGCAGCTGGGTGGGAGTGCAGAGCATGGAGCTGGGGCTGGCAGCAGTGCGGAACCTGGGTGGGCAGGATGTGCGTGTGAGGGAGGGTGGGGGTGATAGGAACCCTCCCACTCTCCCCCTATAGTGCAGCAGCAGTGGCAGCAGGCAGGGATGCTCGGGGCACTGGTGCCCAGCACAGGCTCTGGTGCCCGGTGGCGGTCAGCTCCAGTTAGTACTGCACATTGCAGCAAGTGCCGCTCAACTGGGCTGCCTCTATTGCCATCACTCCCTGCCACACAGACACAGCCCCTGCACTTGCATACCATTGGAGGGATTCTCCCTGCACTGGAGCTGGCTGCCTTCATCACTCCCTGCTGTGTAGGTCCTGGGACTCCTTTCCATTTCCATTGGAGTCCCACGACCTGTGTGGCAGGGGGCAGTGAAGGCAGTCAGCTCCAGGATGGGGAGCTTTCCTCCAGGGGCACGTGAGTAACTTGAATCAGGTAAATGAGAAGAAGAGAGGGAACTGACAGAACCCAAGTATGAGTTATGGGAATTTTACATACAAGTGAGTTAGGGGAGTTATAAGTATAAATCAAGGCTTATGACTACAGAGAGACTGAGTCTGAAAAATCTTAAATACTAGACAAATGGTAAGGGAGACTTGCTGGGGTAAAAAAGGTGTGCCCATAACCATGAGAATTCAGAGCATGCAGCAGTCTGATTATGTTCTAGTCGGGGCCTGTGTAAAGCACAAGCTGAAATTCTGGCCATTCATACAATCTCAAAATTGTACAAGTTTAAAAAATGTCAGCTTACTTGAAACCTGGATCACTGCGTGGGACATAGGAAATTCAAGTCAGGATCAGAAAGGACACAGCTGAAGTAAAGATTGAAAAAGAGGAATTAACATCAAAAATGGGATTCAGATGTGAAAAGTTGAGTGTCTGAACCCATTAACATGATATATCTATGTGTAACTTCAATAGCTTTAGATCTATTCAGCTAGAGAAACCTTCCAACTATTGTGAAATGTAGTGGTCTGTCACAGCAGTGACTGTTGGGGAAAGAAACCTCATTCTGAACGTCAACAGGGCATCAGGAATAAATTGAAGAAGATAATCTCAGAGTCTCATAATAGTCCTGTGCCTTTCATTGCTGCTAGCACAGAACTATCACAACAGCAACAGATTTAGTAGCAGGGCCATATTCAGCACCTTGCATCACTTTGTGGGCACCTTTCACACCTTTATGTATGTTGGGTTGGGGAAGAGGTGCCTGAGTTCTCTGTATGTGGAGTGTTCTGCTGATGGGCACCCCAGTTCCCCACTGCTCAGCCTGTTGTGGCAAGCATGCATTCAACTGCCTATTCTCCGTGGCCTTCTGGGGAGAGTGGGAACCCATCAAAACTATAGCAGCTTAATTTAATGTTCTAGAAAATATTATTTGCGTATCCAGATATATATGTAAATGCATCGAATAACAGAGAAATAGGTCTGGAAGGGACCTCTGGAAGCTATTTAGTCCAGCCCGCACCCACTGCCAAAGGTGGGACCAGCCCTATCCCAACTGCCCTATACGAATCCATTGTCTTGCCTATTAGTAAAACTACACAGACAACCCTGACACAGTTACAAGGTGCAACACCCTAACCTGCCACAGGTAAAGCAATGGGGCGGGGGAAACAGGAAATGTCCTGCTGGTATGAGGGTTGTTAAAATACACTCAAGAGAACCAAGGAAGAAGGCAAAACCCCCTACTGTCCATACCAACCTGACCATGGGGTAAAATTCCTTCCTGACACCAAATACGGTAATAGGTCTGACCCTGAGTTGAGGGGCAAGACCCTCTAGCCAGGAAGCTCTGGGTTCAAGTCTCTGCAGGAGCACTGGTACGCCCAGTCAAAATCCCCAACCTTGGGTATAGCCAACACTAAATGCTTCTGAGGAAGTAAAAAATAAACAACCCCCCCTAAAAACCACAACCCCCCCAACCTCCTGATATACAAAAGGGGGAAAAAATTCTTCCCAGCAAAATGTGGCAACCAGGAAAGCCCAGAAGCGTAAGAAATACCTATAGTAGAGGATAGACATAGGTACTTCTACATCATCCCTGACCAATACTTTGTCCAACCTCTTCTTGAGATTTCACAACTTCCCTAGGCAGTCTACTCCACTGCTTCACTGTTCTAACACACGTTTACATCAAATACATAAATAAATATGTTTAGTTATAGGTAGGCTGCCCCAAAAAACCTAAGAGATAATAAGGCTAACATACAATAGGTACAAAGTGAAACTGCAGAAAATGGTGAAGAACTAGGAATCCAGGTTTTAAATGGATTTAATCCATGAACAGAGGCATAGTCAGGCACTTTTGTGCCTGGTGCAAATCAACTGCACAGCACCTGTCTATGTGCTATGACATAATTACTTCCAGTGTATGTAGTGCCCCCCACCCCCAGTGTGAGGGCTTCCAGTGCCAGTGAACCACTGGCACCACCCTTGCTACAGTACAGCCTATGAACAATGATATATTCACCCATTCAGTAAATCTATATGCCTCTTACAGAAGCACCTGAGCTGAAAACTTCAGAGCCTGGCCATAATACTTCTAAAGGCTGGGGATCTTCTGGTTTTAGATGCTGATTTTTGGTAAATCTCATTTATACCATATGCATCTATATCAGTCTGCCTACATACCCAAATGCTTATTCTGTGCTATCCCTCCACCTTGCTCAGAAATATAACAGGGTGCTCTAGTTTGCCTGAAAACCTTTCTTCATTGTCAGATAATGGTACTGCTGATGTCGAGTGTGTTTTGCAGACTTGCAGTTGTGGGTAGCTTGTCCTAGTAAAATATAAAGGAGGTAAGAGTGTTTTGTTCCTGAGAACAGACTAAAGGTGTGGTCTGAACTGTCCATGAAGAGGAAACTAATGAACTGTAGGTAAACATTGCCTTGATACAAAACTAACAGTATTTTCTTTGTAGCTAGCATTGTGCTAATGGTAGCCATTTCTTGATTGGGTGTGACACTGTTTAAAAGCTGTAGGCTATAACAGCATTAAACCATCATATCTGGATATTTTTCTTCTGCTGTTTCATCCATAACTCTACCTGCTGTCATGGGCAAAGTACAGGCAGTCAAAAAGCCTGAGGCTGAATCAATTCAATCTTCACAGGTTAGGCTAAGATGCATAGATTGAACTGATAAGCAAGTGAACAGACATTTATTTTTGATTCTGGAGATGCAGCCACATGCCTGCAGTGGCCCAGGCCAGAAGCTGAGGGCACAAGAGCATGCCTGCCTGTTTGGCTAGAGCAGACAGCTGGGAACAAGGCTAGCCCACCCACCCTGCCAGGAGGGGGCTTGCAGGGGAGGTGCAAAGCATCCTGGTATGCTGGGGGACTGTGAGTTAACTTGAATCTGGAGGGGATTCGGGACAGAAGTTCAATAAACCAATTTAACCTATATCAGTTAAGTCTGAAGACAACAAATATTGGAATATCAACAGTTCAAGTTTATCTTAATCTTGTTTTGGCCATTTTGAAAGTGGTTTATGCACACTGAACTTCTGTTGTGTTACAGATTTGAACCAGTCTCTGATCACTTATACTTGTTTATGTGGATATTATACACATTTATATCTAGTTTATTTATACCTAGCCGTGGTGGCTATATGGGCATAGCAGACCACAGGACAAAGCCTTCCCAGATGCATTTCTAATAAGCCAAAGGATAAATTTGACACAACATAGTTTCATAGTTTCATAGATTAAGGGTCGGAAGGGACCTAGTAGATCATCTAGCCCGACCCCCCGCCAGGGAGGGAGAACAACAAAAACCCCAAAAACAAGAAACGGGACTCAAATGAGTCCAGCCAGGTAGGCATCCAGCCTCTTCTTAAAGACCCCCAGGGTAGGGGCCAGCACCACTTCCCTTGGAAGTTGGTTCCAGCTCCTAGCCGCCCTAACTGTGAAGTAGTTTTTGCGGATGTCCAATCTAT